TTGTATGTTTTTAGATCTTTTACTATTAAACATGGACTTCCCTGGTGGATCCCATCAGGACTGAATACTAGGTCATTATATATATCAATATAAATTTAGAAACATATTTAAATTTATATATCATATTTATAACATATTAATAATTTATATATACTAACATATATAAATATATATAAATTTATAAATATATATTTACACACACGTATATATCCCATTAGGACTGAATACTACGCTATTTTATACACACACACACACACACACTTTAGTAGATGCAGAATAACAAATGAGATGAACAGGGTTGGGCAGACACTATGTGAAAGCAAAACATGTGTATTTTATGAAGTTTTAAAATGTGTCCAGTGTGTCCTCTTTTAGCCACATAAGTATGAAAGAAATATTCTCTCAATATTTCCCCCATCTATTCAGATTTTCTTGGAAGCCAGTATAGGGTTGACATTCATTAACACTTAGCAAGTCTTTTCAAAGCCAAACATCTGCTTGGCATCCAGTGGTGGTCACTATTTTTTTCTTTACAGGAATGTCTGTTGAGTATTTATTAGTTTCATTTGTGCTTTACAGCTACCTTTTAAGTAGACCATTTATGGATAGAAATCCTTAATGTTAAAGACAATTCTGACAGTTTCTAGGGCTAGATCAGCCTTGACCCTTTATTTAATATACTCATGCTATGACAGAAAATATTCAGAGTGTCCCTTCAGGCCTTTCCTTGGAGGACCCCTTGATCGGCACTGGGTGAAAGGTTTCGCCTGGAATGCCACTCCCTAGTGACAACACGCAATGAAGTCAAGTGCTTTTTTTTATACATCATAGGGGAAATGGGCTAAAAGAAGGTTAGGTTTGATTAGAGATGTTGCAAGTAAGGAAAAATGCTTACTTCAATTTAACTTCTGCTTTCAGAAGACATGAATACATAAATTATGTAGGAGAACGGTGATTACTAGACAGTCTAAAAGCTGGAGGCTCTAAGCCAATTTTCAACTGACTGTCACAGAACATAAGTCTCAAAATATGTTTAAACTAAACTGACAACTGCAGAAAAAAAATGTAAAATTCTTTGAAAGGCTGGGTTATGTGAACTGATGAAGACCTCAGAAACCACATGCTCGTTAATGCACACCAATACTTCACTGCAATGTTCCCACTCTCTTCTGCAGGGAATAGGAAAAGAGGTAGTACAGATGCTTCCCCAAATTAAGCTCTTCCAAGTAGCAGAAAAACTATTCCCAGCACACAGCAGTCAGCAGAAGTATGGTTCATCCAAAAACTTGAAGGGTTCACCATGATCCTCTGCCCAGCGTGAGATAACGCGGGCGGGGTGCCTGAGCATGTATATTTCCCACCCCGTAGGTTCAGAGCAGCTCTACTCTCAGGTGTCCTGGCACCCAGGTGCCCACGAGGACTGAGATCACTACTGTATTTTAACTTCTTTAAAGGTCGCAAAGCCAACACCAGGGAAGTGATGCTGTGAATCTAAAGTGCTGGAGAAGTAGAGATAGAACAAGCTAAAATATCATCATACCAATTGCAAAAACATGTAAAACCACAAGTGGCATAAAACACTGACAATTAAAGATCAGAATGGTCTATATGATACAGTCACCTCTCAGGATAGCTCTTGATTTCAGCGATGTCCACAAATCTTGCTGAAACGTACAGCAAACTTTTTCCGTCCTTTACCTATCCAAGGAATAGGCATCCCTATATGTCTGAAGATGGCACACGAACTTCTATGTGTCTGTGTCCCTGAGTACTTTTTCTGGAGGTGATATGCAGCTTCTATCTGCTCTTTTGAAATATCTGTGATCAGAATCAGTGCACTTGAGCAAGGGACAATAGAGGAAGAAATGCCACAAGGAGTAGCTTACTCAATGACTGAGGTCAAAGTACATGATGGTAAAAGCAGAAGACCCAAAGTTACCTGTGACCAGCACATGAAGGACTGACAAAAGCAGATTTTGTTCTACTTCTAGGATTTTACATAAAAGTTGAGGTAGTACATTCAGCTGACACTGTGAACCAGGACTTGAAAGAGCTGAATAAATGGCGGGGGGGGGGGGAGGTGGTGAGGGATTGAGTTCTGTCTCTGAATCCTCCTTTCAGCAAACAGTGGTGGGTGAGACTTATTGACCTCTGATGGAGGTTGTTACTGCTTCCTTCAATTCGGCTGCAGACTCAAGGGGGAAAAAAACGCATCTTCCTGACTGTGTCAGTTAAGCCAAGCCTCCAAACTGCCTTTGGCCCTGCTGCTGATAGCATCGGGGAGAGTGGCTGAGGTAATGCTGAAGCTGGGACACCTTGCAGAACCTCACTATCCATTACAGGAAAACAGCCCCATCTGGTCACTCTAGCTGTGACTACAGAGGAAGGCCAGACTCTCCACTGTCTCTCGCTGTGCATGGAATGACAAGCCACATACTGCAAGGAGATCACCTTTGTGGGAATCCCCTATTCCGTGCTCCCCGAAACCAGCATGAACATCAGTGAATTTGGAAAACAGTACTGCACTGTAGAGTTTGCAATAATAGTCAGTATTTATGGGGAGCATCCATCTTGAAATGGGGTAAAATTGAGAATTTCCTGAGGCTGGGAGACTGTAATCATCTGAGAAATGTGGAGTGACACTTATGTTTAATCGTAAGGAATGATGCCTGGATTGGCCCACTTATTCCTATCCAGGGCTGGAAGCACTATCCTGAAAATTACACCTCTAGGTCAGTGAGGGAAACGATCAGAAGATGCTATGCACTTCTAGTTTAAATGCCAGGAGGCAGCATGCCAGGGAGGTGCTGAGACATACAAGTGGCTGTGGCACTGATGCAATTACAGGCTTAGGCCAATTCTCAAGGCAAGCCAGTAGCTGCACCCTAGTCCTATAAGGAAAAGACAGAGTGCAAAGATCATTAGAAAAAAAAAAGCTGAGGAAACATATTTTACCTCCAAAAAATTCCAAATACTCTGCAACTCTAAACAAAACTCTGCCGAGAGACTTCTCAGTCCTGCAGCGAGCATAAAGCAGAGCTGAGGGAGCCTGGGCCCACACACGACTTTATAAGCTCTGTTCCGGAGCTGAGCTGCACGTGCATGGCCGATTGTGCTTCCTTCCCAGGGGCCCGGGGCCTGGAGGAGCCCTGAGGTCCGTGTGACTTGCGAGCAGCCAGAACGAGGATCTCAGGAGGGCCTTTCACAAGCCACACAACATACTTGTTCTACCCTCGACTTTGCTTTCTAGTTTTCCTTGCCCTCTGCTCTTGTTTAGTTTTGTGGTTTAACTTTTTGAAGAATGGTGGGAGGTACTGTGTTAAGCAATGCTCCAAGAATGAGGTTCAGCTGCGAGGAGAATTGTGTTATGCAAACTGGCCTCCCACATCTTTCAGACTTGTTGTGATTCCACTTAAAACACAGACAGAGGAAGTGTACAGGAAGCAGGTTCTACTCATCCTTGCACACGCAGTGTCTGTGGCCTGCACGCACGGGGCCCCGCATACGTGCTAAACTGGGGCAACTGTTGGTTTTAGCTAGAGGGCTCTGTATTCTGTTCTGTGGTTTGTTTCCCAATGGGAGCCAACAGTCACAACACTTAGGAGCCTTGGTGCAATTTCTTGCTGATCCTTATCATCCCATTAGTGAAAGTGTTTAAACGACTACATTTGGCACAAAATTATCATGATGGAAGAGTGTCAGAGCAGAACATTAGTAAAACCGTTGAGATCCCAGCAAGGAGCCATGGAAAGTCACTGCACAAGCAGATTTTAAAAAGCAAGAGGATAACAAATTGAGCCAAAAGCCATTTCCAATTCTTTATGGGTAAGCAAACGTCTGATTGTTCTTAACATTGCACATCTGCGTAATATATTATCCAAGAGTTTTAAACTAATATTATTTATTAATACATGCCATAGAGAAAGGAAAAAAAATTATATGACTAAAAGTACATTCTAGGGAATAATAAGCAACTCTTAATTCTCTGAGTATGATATAATTTTATAGCCTGGTTTATAAATGATACTGACTGGGTATGTTTTAAGTTATGTTTCAGAAATTGCATTTCAATAAAAATTTAGGAAGTAACTCAAGATATGGCTCTAAGTTCAGAAATATCATCATACTTGGGATATTTTACTAAATAAACCCATATAAACAAAAAGGCTTAAGAAGCTTACCATTCCTTTATTAGTAAAGATATTTTTAAAGAGAATAATCAAAGCCAATACAACAGTTTGGAAGATATTGTCAGGAGCACAGATTAGGAGAAGTGCTTCATTGAGTCTTCCAGGAAGGAAAAGCAATTTGGGAAGCTTCTACTGGGAACTTAGTCTGATCACAGTTGGTAAAACTCAATATGCAGATGGCAAAGACAGATATCCTGCAGCTTCATGGTGGTCATATAAAGGAGACTGGGCATAGGCTGGGAGGAGCCTTCGATTTTAGAAAGGCAGGGTTTATACAATTTAGACAAAGAGATGGGGAGGATACCCTGACAAGAAGTTGAGAGGGGCTAGAGCTAAGCAGGCTACAAAAACATAGTCCCATGGATCAGGTCTTGATATTAGATTTTAAATTAGGATATAGGGAGTTTTATAGACTGGAGGGTAAGAGACTGGGTATGGGCAACAAATAACCTTCATAAAAATGTTCAGTTATTTGGAAAATGATTTGATTTACACACCTCCCATCCTGCCATTTCCCTAAAATAAGTCCTCTGGCAATAGCATCAAACACTGAACTATAGAAGCAGGACCATTTTAGCAATATCCACAGATGGAATCGCAGGCAAACAACTGATTTTTAACAGATAATGAAAAGGAACCTATCAATTTGAATTCTCAACAACCCTTATTCAAAAAACTCCTAACAGATTCTCTCCTCATATCATGAACCTTCAGTCTTGAGTCAATGAATTACAAATTCTGGATAGGATGACTTCAAACAAATTTGAAAATCAACAACTCAGGATCTAGTCCCTTTTTGGGAGCACTTACCTGCAGCAAATAACAGCTTTGCATGACAAGGCTAGGTCCAGGAAATACTGTCGTACTCCAAAGGTTAAGGCATACTTCAGTGTTTTCCCATCAATAATAAGAGCAAAGTCATTCTCTTTGCCAAGAGCATCGCCGAGGTTAGTGCAGTGACGGCTGAGGGTCTCCCTTGTATCCTAGAACATGAAACACAAATGCCATCAACACTGATTCCCTTTGTTCTACCGAGATGCCATAAGGATGGTTGGCGGCTACAGTTAGTTACATCAAATGTTTTTTATGCTCCCGATCACTTCCACATACCTCCCCTCATTTCATTCTCACAATGGCCCCTCATGGTAACTGGACCTGCATTACCAGAAAAGCTAGATGGTGGTGACACATCTGTTGCCAGCAGGGCTGGGACCAGACTGCAAGTCACCTATTCCTAGGCTGGCTTGGTAGTCTCAGTTCATTATCCTAACAATACAACTACATGGCTGCAAAACAAAACAAAACTTTGTTCTGATATATTATCTAGCCAAAATTGCTTCATCAGTAATCAAAAGAAAAAACTTGTGGAAATTATAACTTAAATAATTTATGGATTTTTTTTTGCCAGTCCTCAATGGAACTGAAATTTAACTCTTGGTAATGGAGAGGAGGAGGAAATGCAGGATCTGTAATCTCTTCCCACTTCATGAACTGACTTCTATAATTTTAATCATGATTTCATGACACTGTATTTTAGCTGGGGATGATGACATGTGGCTTGCTAATCTTGATGGATGAAATAAAAGAACGCTTTTAAAGTCAATAAATAGTTCACTTTCAGGCACAATAAAAACCTTTCATGTCAGGGAAAGCTTTTTGTTCACTTCAACTATACAAAATGGATGTATTTGTCTCCCTCTGTCAAGAACTGCTTTCCCAGCTCGTCAAAGGCAAAAAGTTTTGGGACATTGAGTTTTTCTCTTCAAATCCTGTAGACTCTTCATGCAACTTAGGAGAGTCAAATTCCTGATGCACAAGTGAAGAAACACCACGCTGGGTTGGCACCAGCAAATATAAGGAATTACTTCCTTCCTGTTGGAATTTTTTTGTGGTGAGTGCTAAGCTTGCCATTATTTAGCTACAAATACACATTTACATCATAGAATATAGCTTATCACATGCATGAGAACATAATTTTAGTTCTGATTTATGGATGGTGTATAACCATTTTACACTTATTTCACAAACAGGGAAGCAGAGGTAATTAAAGTTTTATATTGGGGGATTTTTGAGGCTGTTTCTGCAGTTGACACTTTTCTCTGGAATTTCAGAAAGTGTTAATCAAAATATCAGAACCACATTGTATTGTAAATAAGAGTGCCCAACTGTCTCAGTTGTGAATTTCACGTAACAGTTCCTCCACTTTCCCATTATGTTAAAGACCACCAAACGGCAGCATTCTTTACAAAATTCTGTTCACAACTCTACAAGAGGAGGAAGTGGCTGTTTTAATTTACAATCTTCACTCTGATTTCCTGCTGGAAATTGTTGGCCCAAGAGGAGTTAAAAGGAGGTGAAAAATGCAGTAAGTTTTGCAGGCAAAATTTACTCATGGCAATTTGGAGTGGATTACTCCGATTCTATTAAAATTTTTCATATAGCTTAGGTGGACAACTGTCTATGCATAGGTAAAAAAAAATTGTATACTAGTTAGCATGTACCACACTCCAGGCACAGCTTCAAGGGTCACAGATAAAGAAGCAACACTGAAGCCAACATCTGCTGCTGCCCTGAGCTTGAGGCACCACTGTTATCACCACTCTGCACATGAGAAAGTGGAATGTAGTTAAGTCCTGCTCAGAAACACATGGTTACGAGGGCTGGTGTGTGGTGTAGAGGGTTAAACTTAGTGACACCAATCCCATGGTAGAGAGCTGGTTTGAGTCTTGGCTTCTTTGCTTCCAATTCAGATTCCTGCTGATGTGTCTGGGAAGGCAGTGAATGTTGGTCCAAGTGCTTGGGCTCCTGCACCATATGGAGATCAGGATGCAGTTCCTTGCTCCTGGTTACAGCCTGGTAGAGCCCTGGTGGCTGCAGCCATTTGGGAATGAATTAAGGGATGGAAGATTTTTCTCGCTTTCTCTTCTCTCCTTCTGCTGTTCTATTTTTGAAAATAAACCAATAAATACTAAAAAATTGTTAAGCAAGAAATAAAATATTCATACTTGTACATAGAAAGTCATGAGTATAAAAAAAATACATGGCTTACTATGAGTAGTATGACATTGTCATAAAAGCAGACACAGAAACCAATGGAAAGTAAGAGAGAACTTAGAAATAAATTCATCTATTTATATAGCCAACTAATATTTCAACCAAGGCAATAATCATACATATTGGAAGATGAACAGTCAACTAAGGGGTGTTGAGAAATCTGGACATGTATTAGACTCTAGAATCTTCTCTCCCACAAAAACCATCCAAAAAATGGCTCAAAGACTTTAATGTAAAAAGTGAAACTTTAAAAATACCATAAAAAATATATGGGAAATGCTTATGACAGTCATCCAGGCAAATATGTTTTGGAGCCAAACTTCAAATGCCCAAGTAACAAAAGCAAAAACTGACATGTGGGACTATATCAAACTAAAGAGCTTTTGTACAACCAAGGGAACAATTACAGAGTAAACAGAGAATCTACAGCATGGGATAAAATAATTGTAAACTGCTGACTGAGCAAAAGGTTAATTTTCAGTGTTTCAGAACTCAACAGTAACAAGAAAACAAATCAAATAATCTAATTTAAAAGGTGAGAAAATGACTTTCTCAAAAGAAGATATACAAATGACTGAAAAAGTTTATGAAATAATGCTAAGCATTAAAACAGTAAAGGGATATCACAAATAAAGGTTCACTTTATAAAATCAATGTTAAATCATGTCTCTTCTTTCTCCAAAGTCATTCTAGGGCTTTCTAATGTCAACACAATAAACTTCTTCAAATGACACGGTAGGCTTTCCAGATTCCAAGGCCAACATGTTTCCCTTCCCAGTCCTTTTCTCACTCAGGATTCCTTCATGTTCCTCTCTCCACAACCCCTTTTTTCTTCAGGGCACAGTCCTTGTCTATGAACCCAGGCTAACTTCACCCAGCCCTCCCAGGCTGAGTCCACACATTCACATGTTGCTTCCTCTGAGCTAGCAAAACCCTCAGCTCCAGCAACTAATATAGTACCTGCAATTAGAGATGCCCAGGAAATATGTACTTATTCAGTGTGAGTCTTTATAAATTCTGATCTTACTCCAATAGCAGCATTCTATTCCCCCTTATGATCACTTTTGATTAAACACACACACACACACACACACACAGAAAAAGATAATATGAATCAGCTTTCTCTTTCTTACTGTCTATTTTTCTAGGGGATTCACATAGTGAATTCAATAGTGTTTCACAAGCACTGCTCACTAACAGGCCTACATATTTGTTAAACAATTGCCTAAATTCTGACTTCTGAGCTGAAATTCTGAAATGAAACCTGAGAGGGAATTCAGGAAATCCTCACATTTCTTTAAAGTTCAGCTGCAAAGCAAGGGGGAAAGTGAAGTAGGCCTCAGCATAGTGAAATGCCCTCCCTCCCCACCCCATGGGGTGAGGTCCTGTGGGCTTGACTCTCCCTCCTTTCTCAAGTCTGCTCTAACACCTGAACTGTTGAGAACTGTTGAGAACTCTCTTAATTGTGGCATCCGTATCCCTGGGTTTCCTTGGTGACCATCACAGGTCTTCAGCAAATCTGAAGGTGTCAGGAGACAGCTGTAAGGTTTCAGAAGGTGAGTGAACACCTGCCTGCTGTGAATTCCCGAAGGCAGCACACTGTGGGTGTGAGGTAGTGACAACCCAAACCCCAGACATCTTCTCATTTTAGCTTATGGTTTTCTTTGGTAAGTAAGCTCTGTTGTTGGCTGAGTGCTGCTGCAGTTGTATTTTTTATTTACTGCAGAGACTATTTCAAAATTCTTTTATTTATAAAAGCTTATTGGATTTTGCACTAGGTCTGGGAATTCTACTTTATGGTCATGTCGCATTGAAGCTTATCTCCTGTAGCTACAGATAAATTTATCATTGTATTAGCTGTTGCTTCTTTTTTTCCCCCTCAGGCTACTGAAAGGGGAAATGTTTATACATTTACACTTAGTGAGTTGGGAGAGTGAAAATAGATAAGTGAGACACTAAATCAGAAATAGATCCAAACCCATGGAATGCAGCCCACTCAAAGGTTTCTATCTCCTGGTCCTGTCGATTTTAACTTGCGGGCAGAAAGAAAAAGAGAATCAGGGACATTCAGTGGTAAAAGCATTTACAGGGGAGAAAGGAGAAGGCTAGTTCAGACAGGTAAGGAGGGAGCCACAGGGAAGGTGGGATTTGTGTGGTCTTTCTATGATCATCCTGGCCACCATTAACTCCACTGTCCCTGCAGGGAACACTGCTCTTGGCCGAGCACACTAGGGAAGCCCTGGGTCCCGAGGCTCCTATCTTTGACTCACCACGCAGGTCATGACCAATAACACCATGTAGAGGTTAACACTGGCAACACAGAAAGGAAAAATGACCTCATTGGGAGGTCAAGCTTCACTGCAGCTCTCTTCTGTAACATGGGTGCCCTTTCTTGATGATCAAAATTTTGATCCAGGTCTAGTGAATTCTTTTATTCCCAGAGGCTACTGAAGATCTCTTCTCCAAGATTCCAAACTTGGTTCCTGTCAGGTTAGCAAGTACCCATCTGTTTCACTGAGAACACTCAGAGACACAAAGAGACTTCTATCTGCTGGTTTACTCCCTAACTGCTGGGAGCCTGAAACTCAGTTTCCCATGTAGGTGTTAGGGACCATTCAATTGAGGTATTACTGTTGCTTCCCATAGTGCATGTTAGCAGGAAGCTGAAGTCAGGAGCTGCATCCAAGAACTGAACCCAGGCACTTCAATATGGAACACAGAAATCTTAATTGACATAAAAAATACTTATTCACCTGAAAGGAAGAATCTTAGGTGTGGTAAGAAAGAGAGCAAGATATACTGATCTCCCATCTACTGGGTTATTTCCCAAATAGCTGCAACAGCCAAATCTGAGCTAGCCCAATGCCAGGAGTCAGGAACTCTAGTCTCCCACATGAATAGCAGGTACCTGAGTACTTGGGCCATCATC